ACACTGCAGTAAAATCACAGGGCAGAAGTTTGTAAGGGGAGAGATGACAGGGACTGCTGGTGGCAAACAAGATCTGGGTGCATGCAGTGCACCCTACCACTCCTGCTGGCATCAGCCACTGTGAAGCTCTTGTGTTTCTTCTCAGCACGCGCAGCCACCACTGTTGGCAGATATGAATGCAGAAATGTGTGCATGGGAAGAGTGAGAGAAAAACTATGCTCCTTGAAATTGGGCAAATGTCAGACCTTGGACAACGAGCAAACGAGCTCAGACATGAGTTCCATGGCAGAAGGGGGAATCACATGAAGAGCAGAAGGCAGCACACACCCAGTGGGTATGTGCTGAACGAGGGAGTGAAGAAGAGAGGAAGTCAGAATTGTGGCACCGGGACAAACCAGGCAACAAGAAGACAACTGAGTTTCTAAAGCTGCATTCTACAGAGAAAGGAAGTGGAAATCTAAACACTCATTTCGAGAATTTGTTATTAATTTTTTAAAATTTCTAATTTTCAAGCACAGCTTTGGTATAAACCATGGCTATATATTTTAAATCCCAAAGTGGTGATTACCTGAAGGCTATCACTCATCAAATTCTATCAACCATGTTACTGAAATGGTACAAAGCATGACTTACCTTCAGAGTAGCCAAGATGCTGCGCTTTCTGCTTCCCAGCTTTTAACATTTCTTTGTTAATGTCACAAACCACAACCTGGGAATCCCCCAGTGGATTATTTTCTTCCTCCTGGTAACTCTTAGAAATTTCCTGCCACGACAAATTCTGGTGGTGCTTAAGCTTCTGCTGGAGCTGGCGTTCTCGTATGGAACGAACGTAATTAAGGAATCGAAAGGCAATGTCACCTGCAATGGTTTGAGAAGGAGATGTTTTTTAGAATGTTTTCTCAACTTGGAAATACTGAAACTCCATGAAATTGGAACATAAAGCTTTGAACATCAAACTCAGCACATACACATGACACATATAGCATGTATGCAAATGCAAGTATGTAAGTATGCATTTAAGTAAAGGGAACATACTAAAATCAAACATTTCCACATCTTCCTGCAAAAGGAAAGTTTCTGGTAGCATATCATGGCACTACTGCGGTAACTTCAGAGCCTTACAGTGGCGTGGTCATACAGAACTACAGGAGGGTTTACCTGTTCCACCAGCAACATCCACAAGGAGCGTTCCTGGGGAAGGATTCATTTTGTGCACGAGGATGTCCTTCCACACCCGATGGATCCCCAGGGACATCGAGTCATTCATTACATCGTATTTCTCGGCCACGTTTTCAAACACCTGGTAAACTGCAAAGAGAGAGGTGTGAGGATGAGATGCGGCCGACTTAAAATCGGCCCCGTGGAAACCAGACGGGAGAAACTCTTCTCTCCTTGGGGAGGTCTGGCACCGTGCTGAACTGGGAAAGTTCACCCGAGAACTCCTTATACCGAGAAAACGAGAGGATCCCATTGACCTTGCTGAGCCACAAAGGTCTCTCTGGAGGAACAGCGTCTGTTCCCGTAACCCTTCTGTGGTTCCGCGGGGATGAAATGAGTGGGAATGAAATGAGCGGGGATGAAACGAGCGGGGACGCCGCCGCACACCAAGCCCCCCCAGCCCCGCCCGGCCCTGAGCCCCCCCAGACTGTTGTCCGGCCCCGGCGCTGCCGCCCTCACTTTTCTCCCTCCGCTCCGCCTCCGTCACGTTCTGGAAGCCGAAATGCGTCTCCGGCCGGGCTGCCAGCCCCCGGGCGGCGCTGAGTAGCGCGCAGAGAGCCCCGCGGCGGCGGGAGAGCAGCGCGCGGCCCGGCCTCAGCCCCGCCGCCATCTTGGAGGGCGCGTCCGCCACTCCGCCACCGCGCGGGGTCCTACCGGCGCTCGGCCCGCCCGGCTGCCCCGGCCCGGCACCACTCCCCTAGCGCAGCGCACCGGGCAGAGCTCCGGGCTCACCCGCTCTGACCGAGCGGTTTCCCCCTCGCGCGCCGCTGGAGCCATCCGCGACCACCAGCGCCTCAGAGACACGACAAGGGCGCCGAGCTCTATGTCACGTTGGAGGGAGTAGCGCGCTTAAGGCCGTTACTGGGAGAGCCCCACACGCTGCGCTCACGGAACCGCGTCCGGGCGGCTCAGCCGTGAGGAAAAACAAATGGGAAAGGCCCCACACGGGCGGCACGCCGGCAAGCGGAGCCCCGCGAGCAGGCCACAGCCAGACCCCGCCCCGGCGGCCGGGGCATACGTTGCCATGGCAACGGCCGCGGAGCACGCCGGTCCGAAAGAAAACGCAGGAGTAAAACGCGGCGAGAGTGCCGACTCGTAGCCAATGAGCGCGCGGAGCGGCCGCAGCGCTGACCAATAGCCGACGGGCAGTGCGGAGAGGGCGGGGCTGGCGGCACCGGGAGGCGGGTGCGACGCGCGCGGGTCGGTTAAACCGGCGCGGCGGCGGCACGAGCGGCTGATTGTGGTGCGCGTTCCCCTTCCTGCGCCGGTCCGCTGCGCGCCGATTCGCCAGGGCTGCTCCTGCTCCGCGCTCGCGGAACGGTAAGGGGTGGATGGGGAGTGGGGGGGGCTGCCGGGCGGGAGGGCACTGGGCTGCGTCAGCTCCCGATCGGGGCCGGCCGGGAGCTGCGCGCGGTGAGTTGCTGCGTCCGGGCGCTTCCAGCGCCGCAGCGCGCGGCCTGCGCTCGGCTCCGTGGGGCGGCGGCCTCGCGTTGCGGAAGAGCTGCGGGGCGGTGGCTGCCGGGCTCCGTGCGGCGCCGGGCTGCGGGAGTCGGAGGGAGCGGCCGCGTGTGACCGCAGCACGGCGCTCCGTGCCCGCTGCAGGCAACCATGAGTGACCGGAAGGCAGTGATCAAGAATGCCGACATGTCGGAGGAGATGCAGCAGGACGCTGTGGAGTGCGCTACGCAGGCACTGGAGAAGTACAACATCGAGAAGGACATCGCGGCGCACATCAAGAAGGTAAAGGGCTGCGGTGCTGTGTGTGACACCGACGGGGGGAATGCTGCTGGGCGAGTAGCGCTCGAGGAACGAGTTCCAGAGATACCGGCTCCCCGAGCTAGGCTTTCTGGAAGGCTGAGATCGCTTTCCTTGCCTTTGCATGGACTTCTCTGTTCTTTTTGCTGTTGTCCTGTAATACTTCCCACTTAAGCGTTTACCTCTGTAGTCTCCTGTCCGGTTGAACACAAAAGTGGCAGCTGAGCCGTCCCTGGGACTAATCTGGGCCAAAATACAGTGGCTCTATTGAGTACCCCTACAGCTTCCCTCTGAGAGAAGGCTTGTTTGATGGAGTTCTCAGTTACAGCTTTATTTAACTTAATCTTCAGGATCTCTTCAGTTCTGTACAGCTGAAACAGAAACTGTGTGGCAGCATCCTCTTCTGCAAGTTTACTGTAATTGTGTCTTATGTAGTAACCAAAGCAAAAAAAAAAACAAACAGACAAAAAAAAAAACCACCAAAACTTAAAACCAAAGTAAATAACATCTGCTTGTTTTTTAATCTGTTTGCTGTTTTTTTTTTTAATATCAAATTAACCATAATGAATGAGGTGCATAGTCAGCCCAGGTGAATGGAAAAATCAGAGTTTTAGTGGAAGTGACTAATTTGAATGGCAGAGCTACCTGAAAAGCAATGAAACTAAGAAAAAATCTTTCCTTTGGAGAAAATGCTGCTCATAATACAGAAAGGTATTTTTTTTTCCCCAGATGCTGGAGATATCTGTGATAGTGGAGAAGAGAGAGTTTAGCCTAATGTTACTCAGGTACTTTTTGTGGCAACTGCTAGAGACTTCTAGAGAATTTACTTGATAGGTGTAAAACACAGCTACGTAGGAGCTGAGTAGATAGCACTGGTATTACACAGCTTCTGGCAGAGTGTTTTCCACAAACAGTCCCATCAGCACCCGTGTTAGACATGAACAAAGGAGTTCAAATAATGGCTTCGTCTCCATGGATACAAAACTGGTGGTGAAGCCTTCACTTGGAGGCTGTAGTTTTAGATGATGAATTATGGGAGGGAGAAGAGTACCTTCACTGAGCAAAGGCAGTGTTCTGAGCTTCTGTCTGCTCAGATGGGAGGCACTGTTTTTCTCTCTTTTATTTTTTTTTTTGGTCTGACTAAGCAGCAGGTGAACAATGCTAGGATTATCTTGTTTAGAACGTATTCAAGAGCATCTGCTGCTCCTCTAATTGCCCTGCCCAGAAATTAAATGCCTGTTTAGAAGTGTTCTTAGCATCTAGTGGTCTGTTTTGCAGGAATTTGACAAGAAATACAATCCTACTTGGCACTGCATCGTGGGAAGGAACTTTGGCAGCTACGTGACTCATGAGACCAAACACTTCATCTACTTCTACCTCGGCCAAGTTGCTATTCTTCTCTTCAAGTCTGGTTAAACCACGGACTCTCTCTCTGACACCGCATCTGGCTGCAGGACTGCTGGCTCCTGTGCCCAGATCCTTCAGCCTTCCTGAGGACGCAGACCTTGATCTTCAAGGGCAATGGCAGGGATCATGATATAGCAGAAGGTGTTACGTTGTGGATATGAAAATGAAAAATACCAAAAAAAGTCTTCCTTATATTTATTTTTTTTTTCTAAAAGGCTTCATTTTTGCTAGTAGAGCTGATGGAGGAGTGTGGCCTTTAAGAGTTCTATGCCATCTGCAGTATCAGTCCATTACTGCTTATGCTCTGTGAGTACTGACAGTGTTCTGTTCCAAAGCTCTCCTTTTCCTTTCTGATTCTCTCGTACTGTTGGATATACTGACAGCTGTACTGTTGCAGAGCCTGAGCTGTTTCTTTTTCTGCTGATGCCTCTTGGAGATTTGATTTGGAAAATAAACGTCGAGATCCACCTGGCTGCTGCCTTGTTTTCTGGGTAGGGCCGCAGTGCCCGCGGGACTACAACTCCCGGCATGCCCCGCGCCCCCGCCCGCTGCCCAGCACCGCCGCGGGGCGCTGCTCGCACGTGGGGAGCGGTTAAACAGCAGCGGGGCGGAGGGAGACGGTGCGGGGCTGCCGGTGGACTCCGGGTACCTCCGCTCCTGCCGGGGGTGTGGGTGCAGGTGGCCATGGATGAGCGGAAGGCGGTGATAAAGGACACGGACATGCTGGAGGAGATGCAGGAGCAGGCTGTGCAGTGTGCCGTTTTGGCCGTAGAGAAGTACAGCGTTGAAAGAGAAATCGCTGCCCTTATAAAGAGGGTAAATAGCTGCGATATCCTGCTTTTTGATCTGCTCACATCAGAGCTAGGGTGGGGTGGGGAGCACTGAGCTTCCTGGAAAAGCCAGTTCTGCGGGGGCAGGGCATGGTGGGCCCTGTGCTTCTTTCCCTCTGTTCCTTTTTGTCACCCTTACATGTGTCTTATCTAGAATGTGTACTTTTCCAGGTCCTTCCCATTTTGTTTCGCAGTACCTCCTGTTTTAAATTTCTTTGTTGCTCTCAATGAGCAACAGGAGGGCATCTGCTGGCCTGTCCCAGTGCCTGGAGCTGGTAGGAAACTGAGTCTGTCATAGCTTTCCTCTGAGGAATACTTGAACTGTGCCTGAATTGGTCTTAAAGTTCTGTTCACATTTCTGTAGCAGTTGTGCAACACTGGCTGCCTGGTTTGAAATTTGCAGTGGGAAATAATTTTCAGCGTAGCTTCTGTATTCGCTCCCCTGTGCTGAACTATGCAAACAGCTTGAGGCCTGGGGGCCTGGTGTCCTTATGGCTGTGTGAGAAGCAACAAGGGGTGCATGAAGTTCCTTCTGCCTTGCCATCTTAAGTTGCTGAAGGAATCCAAAGGTACCGCAGCTCTGAGAGGGAGCTGTTCGGTCCTTCAGTAGGAGTACAAATGCTTCTTTTGTGGGAGTCTTCCTTCCCTCTCATAAGGAATACACTCTGGTGCTGGTGAGCAGAGGGTTTGCAGCTTGTTGTGTGGCTCCTTGGTGGAGCCTGAAAACTAGGAGACAGGAAACTGCTTAACCAAGGTTGTAAGAGCTGACCCTTACCTGGTATGGGCTGAGGCCAAACTTTGACATTTGGGGAGATGTCCCTGAGCTTATTCCTGCTCAGCTATGAAGTGCTGTGGGTTTGACTTTCTGTAGTCTGAGCAGCAGTGAGCTGCAAAATATAACAGTCTCTGAAGCAAACAGCACCTGTTCCAAATGGCTGCCTATTGAGAAGAGACACATCCTGACAGAAAATCTACAGCCAGGGCAAGGGAAGGGCTGCGCCAGCACTAACTTCCCTGTGGTCTCTTCCCCAGGAGTTCGAGAAGATGTACAGCCCCACTTGGCACTGCATTGTAGGAAGGAAGTTTGGCAGCTACGTGTCTCACGAGACCAAGCACTTCATTTTCTTCCTGGTGCGTGGCCTCAATGTGCTCCTGTTCAAGGCTGGGTAGCAGCTATTGCTGGCAGCTGCAGTGCTGTGCAGGCTGCAGGTGACAGCACAGTGCTTCTGGGACGCTGTTGTGTTCGGCACGAAAAAAAAAAAGAATAGTTATTTGTTTTTATTTCCGAAGTCAGTTCCTTCGTTAATTCAAATGCTGTGTTTTTGCGTCTTTCTGCAGTCAGTCCCTGCCCAGAGGGAGCCGCGGCGGGCCGGCAGGGGGCGCTGTGCGCGCAGCCTGAGCGCAGGGCCGGCTCTGGGACCGCTCTTTCATGTCGCTATAGCAACGAGTGCATGCGCGAGGATCTTCCGCTCTCCGCCCCGTGGCCAATGAGCGCGCGGAATGGTGGAGGCGTTGGCCAATGGGTAGCGGAGGGGGCGGGACTAGCGGCTCCCCGGGGCGGTTAAAGCGTTGAGGCGGCGGCGGTGCGCGTCCGCCCGCGGGACTGCGCGGCTCCTGGCTGCGTGCCGTTGGTGCAGGGGGCCATGGGCGAGCAGAAGGCGGTGATAAAGGACACGGACATGCCGGAGGAGATGCAGCAGCAGGCCGTGCAGTGCGCCCTGCGGTCCCTGGAGGAACACAGCCCTGAGTGCAGCGTTGCCGCTCATATAAAGAGGGTAAATGTGACTAAGCCGGGCTCTGCGTGCTGCTGAGCGCGGCACCCCGCCCTGCTCTGCACCGCTCCGCCGGGTCACGCCTTCTCCGCTCCTGCAGGAGTTTGACAGGAGATACAACCCCACGTGGCACTGCGTTGTGGGGAGGAACTTTTCCAGCTGCGTGACGCATGAGACCAATCACTTCATCTTCGCCTACCTGGGCCACGTCGCTCTTCTTCTCTTCAAGTCTGCTTAGAGCCGGGGGCCGCTTCCCGAGCCCCGTCCCGCCCCGGCCTTCCGTAACCCGCAGCCCGCTGCCAGACCGACCTGGGGAGGACGCCGGGCACGGGCTTCGCTGAAGTGAATGGTGTTCTTGTTGTTCCTAGGGGCGAAATGGAAAAAGGAACCCCTCCTTGTGTTTGTTTGTGTTCTACAGCAGGCTTCTTTCCCAATAAAAGCGTTCTGCCTTTCGAAGCTGTGCGGCTGTCTGCGCTCTCTCTGACGTTGCTTGGGCTGCTTATTTCCCCCTGAGCCCTGCAGTGAATATACTCACAGCTTGGTCAGTGATCGAACGGTAACAGATGAATTGGGGACAAATGAAAGCAGTCCCTTTGTAAGGCTTTTGCTGAAGGGTAACATATGTATGGTTATGTAGTCTTTTTGTTAACTCTCCTTGTACTTTTGTGCCCAGTGCTGTTGCATTGAGGCTGAAGTTCCTGCCCAGAAAATAACAGGAAAGGGATCAGCGCTTGCACTCAGGATATTCAAACGCTATTTTTCGATTGAATTAAAACCCCTTTAAGAAGCCGTTGTCATTTCAGTCTGAATCCCCATTTTATTTATTTATCTATTGTTCAGGGGACCAATTTGCTAGTCTTACACAAATTCAGCAGAACGGACTTGTTTTTATTTTTAACCTTCACAACCGTTTGTCACAGTTACTGCGTGCTATCGAGGTAGGCTCACACGGGAGCCCCCAGGACGGGTTGCGATCTGCTCCCCCGCCCCGATACCTCTCGCTTTCGTGGCCCGGCAGCCACTGGGCACTACAACTCCCGGCGTGCCCCGCGCGGCCCCGCACTACAACTCCCCGCGTGCCCCGCGCCCCGCCCGGGCCCGGCTCCATCCGGGTCCCGGCAGTGCTGCGGGCGACTCGTCGCCATTACGGGGCAGCGGCGGCGGCGGCCGAGCCGGGGCCGGGGCGGCGCCGAGGAGCCGTAGGGTGCCTGCGTGGCGCCGACCGACCGCGCGGGCGGCAGGCAGAGCCGGGCCCCGCGGGGCTCCGCCAGCAGCTCTTTCCGTCGTCGCCCGGAGCCCCGCAGGCCCGGCCCGGCCTTCCGCGGCCTTCCCCCGGTTCAAGCGGAGCGCCGAGAAGATGTCGCCATGAAGGAGGCCGAGTCCGCGCTGCGCCGCCCCCGCCGGTCCCCCCCGCGGGCCATGAGCCTGGGCCCCCGCCGGCTCCTCCAGCGCCCGTTGTGCCCCCCCGCCCAGGGCCGCCGCTCGCCCGCCGGGGCGCCCGTTGATGCTGCAGAGCCCGCCCGGCGCGCCCCCCTCCTCCGCCCCCGCCATGGACAAGAGCGGCCCCTGCGGCCCCGGTGCGCCCGGCTCCTCGGCCGGCGGCAAAGCGCAGCCGCCGCGCTCCGCCTCGGCCGGGCCCGCCGCTGGGGAGTCTAAGCCTAAAGGCGGTAAGAGCCAGGACGGGACGGGGGGGCGTCGGGGCCTTCGGGCTGCGCGGGGCTCCGTGATTCGGGACGGGGGGGGGAGGGACCCCGGCCGTGCGTTCAGCTCGGTGCCTGGTGTGGTTATGGTTTTCCCTCCTCCTCGGCCCCGTTCTCCAAGGGTTTCTCTTCTTCTCTCAGGGTTGTGTTTGGTTTCAGGTTGGGTGTTAAGAAAAGCGTGTTGTTAGGAGCTGTAAGGCTCTGGCACAGGTTGCCTGGGGGTGGTGTCGTCGCTGTGACAGGCATTCTAGAGCTGGGGAGATGTGGCACTGAGGGACACGGTCAGAGGGTATGGTGGGCTGAGGATCTGAGAGGTCTTTTCCAACCCAATAGCTCCATGATCTATGCTGGCATTGGAGCAATCTGTTTGAGAGACAGAGCTCTGGTTTTGCACTAAGAACACATGTGTGCTGCTGCTTGTCAAGAAGCACTGACTTTGTTCTGCACTCAGGCCTGTGCCTTTTTGCTGAGCTTAAGGAGGTGCTGTGTCCCTGCAGCAGTCCCTCACTGAGTGCTCTGCTGACCATCTTTGGGAGAGGTCAGAGTACATGTTGCAGCGTATCTGGTGTTGCAATCAAAGTGCCACAGCTGTCATTGTACACAGCTGGTTCTGCTGACGGAGCAGTTGGTGATGAGCCTTCCTGCTTCCTCTTCTGGTTCTTCTCCAGGTAAGACCTGAACCTCCCCCAGACCCCTAAGGGTGATCAGAAGCCCCATTCCTGCATTTTCTTCAAATTGTAGAAGCAAGGCAGCAGCATTCAGAGCATGTGGTTGTGGTCCCGGAAGTGTGTGTGTGTGTGCCTACAGGTTGCTTCAACACCATCGCTGTCCATATTTCCTTCCTCACTGGTTTATTTCGGCAGAAATACTTCAGGCAGCCCACACACAGCATTAGGTGTCCTGAAGATGCTGGCTCCTTTTTAGATCTCGTAAATGTGTTCAGGTTCCAGGTGGCTGAGTACTGCCTGCTGTTCAGCTGTATTCACTGATCTCCCACTGAGCAGCCTGTGCGTAGTTTTCTCTAGATATGTAGGGTTTTTCTGTTTTCAAGTGTACAGATGTTGTTTTTTAATAATTTTAAACTGTATGCTTATAAAGAATATCTGATGTGATGTAGTTCTGCCTCTGAGACATCTGTTAATTGCAGTGGGGAGGTGCTATGGGATGAGGCCCTGCCTATATGGCACATTGAGGAGGTCTGTAAAGCAAGCAGCAACTTCTTCAGCAGGAGTTTATGTATGTTTGGGAGTGTCTTCCTTGGAGTGTATTGAAAACTAAAATGAGAAGGTTCCCCTGGTTGGATGGGATCAAACAGCCCTGGGCTGAGTGTACACAACGCAGTGGTGTTGAACAGTGACTTTGTTTTCTCACTGTCTTGTCTCACAGCAGACACTGACATCTCTTTCTCACACAGGCTTTCTTTCTCAAGTTCCTTATCCACCCAGAAGCAGCCAGGCTGAGGCTAGCTGATGCAGCCTGCCCAGGTTGAGAACTGTATGGGAGGTATTCTGAAACTCTGGTGTCTCCTTTTGAAATGCTCTCCACAGAAGGCTGACCTGTTTCATAAATGCTTTTGCACCAGTGCTCGCTGGCTTTAAGTCCAGCCAAGCTCTTGTCCTTTATATGCTGCTCAGTTACCTGATGCAGCTGTGTCCAGCTGAGGAGAAGAAGGAAAGGACATTCCTGAAACCACGGAGAAGCTCCTCCTGTTCTCTTGCAGCACGGCTTGAAGCGAGCTAATAGGGATGCTGCAGGTGCTCCTGACTATGGGAGAGGCATTCCAACTTCCTTTCAAACATGGCCTTAGAAACTAAATTAAACTTTACTCCATAAGGCAGGAACAGTTTTCTTGCTAGCACTATAAAGTTATGTAGACAGCATTTTGTAGGTCTGCTCTTGGAGCATGAGTGGGTAAATATTACAGGTTAAGGAGAACTGAGGGTGTAGGGGAAGAGAAAATACCTCACCTGCACTGCTGCTGCCCGTGTCCAGTTTGCCAAGAAAAGATGGAAAAATAAACCCCAAATCCAAACATACCCTGCTTAAAACTAACGAGTGGCTGTTGTGAGAATCTTTTGCTTTTCTCCCTGCGTGAGGGCAGATATCCCTGTGCTCTGTGCAGCTCTGAAGGGAATGCAGGGAGAGGTGATGCAAAGCAGAGCTCTGGCACGTGGCCTGCTGTAAAGGTCAGCAGGAATGGCACTGCTTAGTTTTGCTGGGGGAAAAAGAGGTGTTCCAGATTACAGATGCATATTTTAAACTCTTGGTTGTCTGCTGACTTATTTCATTGCTACCTTGATGGACTGGAATCCTCATGGGGGTTAGTTACTTTGGGAGGGGGAAAAAGGGATCAGTAAAATCAAGTTTGAAGTGGTGTCAGGCTGTAATGTGAAGATCTTCTTGAAGAGGCACAGGTGGGGAGGACTCTCCTGTAAAATGTAAGAGCTGTTGCTGTGAGTCGTAGAGCTTGGAGGAGCCTGTTTGGAGTGATGCAGTGTGGCAGGAATGTATGTAAACCAGCTGGCTGACACACTGGTGCCCTTGATGATGACTAATGTGATTGAAACGACAAGGGGAAGGAAGTTCTGTTAGCAGCACATAGGAGAGCTGCTCCTGGACCTGGTAGAGAAATGTAAAAACTCACTTCAGACTGAACGTCTCCTCTTGAGTTTGTTTTTCTCCATTGGTGGTTGCAGAAAAACTGCAAAGCCACTACAGGCAAAACAGGAACGTTCCTTTCTGTGGCATTGGCTGCAGTTGTGGTTTTCAGAGGGCTCTGAAGCAGTGAGCTTTGCTTGTAAACAACTGAAGCAGTGGTCCAAACCTGCTCTAAATAACTTGATTTTTGACCAGAGGCTGAAGGGTGTTGATTATGGCCTCTTTCCTGCAAACACTCCAAAAAAGGTCTATCTAATCATGAAACCAGGCCCGGTTACACCCTGAGCACTTGGCAGCTTCTGGTGTGTTTTTTTCCCTGATAACTCTAAACCTGTGTCCTTTCAGCCTGCGTGTGGCTGTGGGGCACAGCAGGTGTTGGAGTTGCATGTCTGTGGTTCTGGTGGGGTTGGTTTTATTCTGAACTGAGGGATTTGTGTGAGCAATGCCATTGTGAGGTACACTGACCTGTTTGCTGCCATATGAGATTCATCTGAAGGGGTGGGAAGGGCTACGGAGTGGGTAAGGAGAAACTAATAGGATTGTTTTACAAAGCAGAGCTGGATGCCATGGCCAATGAGGTGTGTGTGGTGCTCAGTAGCTGCAGCATGGGGATGGCAGTTGTGCAGAGAACCTGCTGAGCCTGGGGAGCTCAGCTTCTAAGTTCATCAGCAGAGCTCTTCTGCCACTAAAGCTTATGGCAGGTGGTGGGAAAGCAGCCTGCTGCGTATTTGAGGCAATTCCAGCAGTAGGTTAAGACTACTGGAGACATCTTCATAGCATTAGACTTCAGTTTAACCATTTAAGAAGTAGCTGTGTAGACATAGGAAACGTTTCTCAGGAGCTTGACTGATTGTTCTGCTCTTATGAGCCTCAGGCCTGCAGTGTTTTGCTCTGTGCTCGGTTCCTGTGCTGTATGGCAGCTGTGTGCTCAGCACACTGCCAGGAAAACCATCCTTGTTGTGTGGGTGGTGGATTCAGTACTCAGATATTGGGAATGTGCACTGAGAGGCTGAGGTGTCAGCATCAGTGGGTGTTTGTTGGCCTTGTGAAAGAAAAGGGTATTAATTTTTAAAACACATCAGCTGGGGGCAGAGTGAAAATTGGCAGTGGAGTT